TAGATTTAACAAAATTTTTAACCTTTCTTTTTTTATTGAAAATCCATACGTTTTGAAGATGAAGATTTTTCAAGATGAATGTCCGTCTTAAATAAAAAAATGCTAGGCAAAGTTTAACGTTAGACTTAATGGGTCTTGAATTCGAGTTACGATTTACAACTTTGCATCACGAAAAAGTTACTTGCTGATAAAAGTCTCATGCCCGCTTAATCTTAGACGTTCGACTTAATAGTCTTCGAAAATATATAAATGGCCGAGAAAAATGCAACATATAACTTGAATGGACCTTATGCACGGCCATTTTGTCCTTTGCAGGTCTTTGTATTCAATCATATAAAGGAAGGTGAATAAATAATAATGACAATTAATTAGCTATCGTTTTCTACAATTATTAGAACGAAAATATTTGAAATTATTTACTACTAAAAATAAATTCGTCTTCATTATTTATAATTAAAATCATCCAATAAAAATCAATAGATAAATAATGACAGTATAAAATTCATACATGTTTAAATGGCGACTAATCTGACTAATAATTATTGTACTTGTATGTTCTCAAATATACACTTTAAATTACAGTATTTATTGAAATATTTCTCTTTCTTTTAAAAAGTAATTCTCTCTGCCGCAACGGATTTTTCATCTTTTATGAGGTTCCAACCCTTTTCTCGTCTAATCGCTTTTTTCCCTTCTTGTACCCCAGGCATTTCAAGCTTTTTCTCGGTCGTTTATTATATATACGTCCTATACATTGTGTAGTCACGTCGAACCCAGCAGAGACATTTTTATGTGGTAGCTCATCGATTCCTCGTTTTCGTTATGCTAAAAAGCCAGACGAGAAAGAATCTATCGAGTCATCTTCACGCAGCTACTAAATGGAATTTGTCAGAAAAATTTGATTCTATGGTATGACTCTCGTCGCGAATTTTGCATAATCCTAGGAATGGTAATATATTTTTTTTCTTTGCGGAGTATGTCGATCGAAAAAGCCCGCAAATTGTCGACGCTCAATTTGATGTAAAATGCATGTACCATAATAAAATTATGTGTATATACTTATTATTTGAATTGAGACTTATTGATTTTTGCTACACTATTTTATTTGGAATTGTAAATAGGCTATAAGTGTCCGTGAAACCCACGTTAATACATTTTTACTGAACTCAACTTTTTTTGTTATGTTGCAGAATTCTGAAAAATTATGATAGTAGAAATTAGACGCGAAACAAATGTATTGATATTTGAAAACTCAATTTCTTTTTGAGAAAATTAAAATCTGTATCCCATTTTCATCCATTATCGTTTTAAGAATTAAATAACATCCACATAAATATATTTTTAGGGGCTTTTTATAGTGTATTTTAAAAAGTGGCTATATTCACTGAGTGTTAGTCAATCTCTGATTTTTTTGAACAGCTTTTTTTGACAAGTCAAACTAATTAAATTATTTTTCAAAGTTCATTATTGGATATCCAAATTAAACTCATACAATAGGTGTTAGCATCGTCTCGAAAATCAGCTGCAATACACGCTTGACTAAACTGTTTAGTTCTTTGAAGGGCTCCAGTTATCGGGTAACGAGAAAGCGCACTTATATTATATATCTATTGCTACGCCTGTCTTGCCAGAGAGGAGGTCTATATGTGCAGAGAAGTATGCAATCTGATGAAAATTATGAAGTCAAGAGATGACGTTGTAGGTAAAGACAGTTCTTGAGTGTTGTTTGCGTTTGATGAACTTGGCTCTGCTTTAGCTGTGTATTTGATCAAGTGCTCTAGACGATCATGTACTACATCACGTATTTTACTGTGTGATACACTGTGTTATATATATTGTATACTTATTAGGGGATGTAGGAAACCCAATAATTTCAAATCAATCTGCGCCCCTCATTAGGACTGGGACAGGTGCAAGCCAAAAGTATTAGTGCATGTCCGAATGAGTTCACCAAATTTTTTTTCTCGAAATTCTCAAAACATTTTACTGATTATTTGACAAGACCCAATCGTTATCACTTGACATTACAAGGCTGCATTTTGAGCTACGTACTTTTAAGGCTCATGTCGCCCTGAGCTACTATTACAAACTCTCTTCATCCGGCCTGTCAATCCGATCTAGTCAGTTTGAATTGCAATCTTCTCTCTCGCTCTCTTGCTCGCTCGAGCTCTCTTAGCCCCAAGACGAATCCGGCCGTGGGTGGATGAGTTCTCCGGGGAGTTCCATCGCATTCCTCGGGCTAGCTCGTGCTTCGCCATGCCGATGCCGTCGCCAAAACTCATTTCCTCGACGACGGATTATGAGGGCTTGCGCTTCGAGCTTCCAGCTCGCACGATCGACGGAAATCAGTGGTACTGCGGAGGCGTATGTATGAACCTGCTATATCTACACCTATAACGCCTTCGCTCCTGCTACGCGATCGACTTTTCGCTTTGCTACGTGACGACACTACCACATAGGACCTTGCCTCTGTTGTATTTCGTGGATAATTGTAAGCGCGCGTACATAAATAAATCTGCGAAATTTTGAATACGGTTAAATTTGTTTTGTTAATTTTCTCATTAGTCTAATCGAAAAAAGCATTCCGCAGAAGCACATCTATAATAATTCACAGTTTCAAAATTTAACTAATTTTTTAAAATTTTGTAAATAGCTCAATATTTTCACACGCACACGTAAAACCAATGAAAAACAAAAATAATAATAATAATCTGATTCCTTGGAATCCGCTTTCCAATAAAAATAAAAAAAATTTTGACCGGCATTCATGGGAAACAAAATATTCGAATTTTCTTAATCGTTATAGTTCGAAAAACTCCAAACTCATAATTCTCAAAATGAAATCGATTGTATTCGAGTGAAAATGTTCGATGCATATGCATCTATGTGTATGCGTGAATCATCACCAACGATATGGTTGTTCGCGCGTATCCTGATACGCGAGGTAAGCTTTCATGCGTAAATAAACTATTTCACCAGTTTGTCTGGCTAAAGCAACGCACACACCGCATGATCCGCTTATGCATAAATTGCTCTTTGCTTCTGCATATAGCTCGGTTTTCTCTCTGTTCAGTGTGTTTCTCGAATCTATGTATAAGTGTGCAAACTCATCCTCACACATACATTTATGTACACTTTTACATTTATCGCCCAATCTCCATGAGTTATTTCGTGCTGCTTATGAAAATACTTTGTCATCTGAGTTATAATGCTTTCTACGCATTTTGATGAGCAATATTAAATTACTACTTCTTTTCAAAAAATTTTGAGTAATTTTGCATAGGGAGATTTCTGAAATTGTGATTTGACGTTATTCAAAGTTGGTGATGTTAGTTAGGGAGTAAGCTGAAGCGGTTTCTTTAGACTTTTGCATGCGCAAGGCAACGAATTACAACGTTCTAATAAATGTTCAAAGGCAATTTTTTTTCTGCATGTGTAAGCATAATCGCGTGTAAGGTAAAATTTATCAACTTGAATATTGGAGAGCTAGTATAAGAGTTGAAATTTTTCCACGAGTGAATCTAGTGTATTTAAATCAAGGTATAATCATGTTTTTCAATTTTTCACGGAAAAACAAGGCCCCATACCAAAAAGCTCGATCTTAAATAATAGCGTTGCGTACTTCACACACTAAAATTCTTACAGTTTTTAGTGCTTTAGAAAATTTTTTAAAAAACTAAAGAATTTTATAAAGATTTAAAATACAAATATAAGCGACTTAAAACAATGAAGTAATAATTACTTAGAATTCACTGTTTTATTTACTTCAACAAGTTCAAATATAAACGAGTTAAACCAATTAATCAATAAATTACAAAAATTTAATAATTAACTTTACACGTTTTTTCGTTATTGTACTTTTCATTTTATGTCATTGAACTGCAGTGGAGATAAAAGGCAAATGCCGTACAGAAATAAAGTTTAATGACAGAATACAATTATAATAAATTAAAATTAATTGAGTTACCAATGTATCGATTTTATATTTAGTTGCTTTCAATTTAAAATAATAGGCTGTTGTTACAAAATAAGACTTTTAAATTCCAAAACTTTTTTACAAATTAAGCAAATGTATGATTGCTTTGTAAAGAGTGCCATGAAAATAATATGGAAGTGACATTTTTTACAGTGGCTTTATACTTTTACTTGGATCGATAATTATCAAAAATAAAGTAGGATTACAGATGCAGTTATTTGAAATCAACCAGCATATAAATATAACTACATAAATTCACTGTTGACACAAATATATTTACTTTAATTTTTTTTAATTTGTGAAGTAAAGCAATAAATACGTTTTATAGATTTGAATGATTCCTAAGAATTTTGATACATGAAAAAATATATCATGTTCTTATTAGTTATAAAATTTTATAATAACGTCCAAATTAAGTTTAAAAGTGTTTTGTTTAATATCGACAGTTATTTTTAAAAGATTAGGTAAATTTCTGAAATCGTGCTTTGGTCTGTAGCATTTACTTTGTCGCAAAATATATCTAATATAAATTTCTGATATATTATCACGAATAAAAGCTTACAGCGGAAAAGAGAGCTGTCGGTGGGGGTCTGTTTTTACGTAACATCGAGCAAACAAGTCTAAGAAGTTCCATTCTCTCTGTTGTGATTCTTTATCAGAGTTTAGTACGTGTTCACGTCACATACAAAATATTCTTGTTTTAAGTAATGAAAAGCTGATTTGTTTCAGCTTATTTTACTCACTGATTTTCCGTATGCACACATGCAGTTTAGATTTTTTAAGAGTTGTATTCTGTGAAAGTGAGTGAAAGAGAAAGACATAAATTAGTGCTACATTTATTGTGCAAGAAGCATGTGGGTCGTGACATTAGCTACTATAAAGATTAAAACGATGACTTCGAAAATAAACTGTAGGAGTATATAAGTAGTTTCGTGTGGTACTGTAACAAAATTCAAGATTTTTAATTTAGAATATTTTAGTTTTTAAGTAAAGTGTTTACTGAATATTAAAAAAGTGTTTTAAATTTGAAAGCTGAATGATGTAAAATAATTTTATAAAATTCAATTTTTTAAAACTATGTTTTCTTTTTAACATATCGGAAAATTACTTTATACTTCAATGTCTATGTAAAAAATAATTTTTGAATTTGAGATTTGAAATGGTGAAATCAGCTAGAAGAATACGTGTCTCATATACCCAAGAAAATTTAGAAAAAGCTATCACTGCCGTTAAAGCAGGGGCATCAGTAAATGAAGCTAGCAGAAAATACAGAATCCCTAGATCAACTCTTTACATTAAAGTATATTCTACATTGGATATTCATAAGCCAGGATCTACTCCTCTTTTATCTCAAGAAGATGAAAAAAAATTGATCAAATGGTTTGATTATATGTTTACTTTGGAGCGACCTGTTACAAAAGACCACTTAATAAATAGTGTTGCTCTTTTGGCAAAATTATCAAAAAAGAATATTTACAATGCTGGTAGACCATGTGATTATTGGTGCGAATGTTTTTACCGCCGACATGGAAATTTAAAAGAAAAAATGCAAAAAAGTGCTGTGAAGTCAAAATGCGAACCAAACAAAATTACTTTGATGAGGTGGTTTGATAGAATTTTAAATCAATTACATGTGATGAATCTTACTGATATTGATCCAACACGAGTGTTTAATATTGGTGAGACTATTTTACCTCTAAATCCAAAAAGTTCTCAAATAAATCGTATTTATGAGCGAAAAGGCTTAGTGCTCATTGCAGGAAACGTTGTTGGACATATGGTTCCACCAATGATACTTCTTGATTTTGAATCTACGGATGATTTAACAAAGTCGCCTCAAAATTGGGTCATTAGACAAAGTCATGGAGCTTGGCTAGATTCGGAAATTTTCAAAGAATATATACAAGATATTTTTTATCCTTGGCTCGTAAAAAATAATACTCAATTTCCAGTTATTTTATACCTTGATTCTCACGTTCAATTTTTAACTCAACCTCTTACAGAATTTTTTCAAAATCGACAAATAACTGTATTTGTTTTACCTTATAATACTACGGAATTTTTACAACCTTTGGATATTGGTTTGTTCAAGTTCATTGAACAATTTTGGGAAAAAATAGTTCACATTTTCAAGATTGAAAATAAAATGGATTATGTGAGACCAATCGATTTTATTCTTTTATTAAAAGAATTATTTGATAATATTAGTATGGACGAGTTAATGAGCGAAAGTTTTCAAAAATCAGGACTTTACCCTTTATCCGATATTGTAATTGAAAATACAAACCTCAGTTTACAAAAAGACGAAAAAGAAGATGATGAACGAATTCATCGTTCATCATCATCAAATACACTTTTAAAATCAATAGAAAAATTGATTGACCCTTTGACATTAAGCACTTTTAGATGTTTGTTAAATGTTGATAAATGGGAGGGGAATCCTGCAGATGAAAATCTTTTTTATCTTTGGAGAAAAGTATATAATAAAAATAAAACTGGATCTCATTGCTCTAAGAATACAAATTTGAACGCGGAGGTAAGTAAGCTTTTGAGTTTATGCTTATAATTATAAAACTTGTTTTTGAATTCATTTTTATGAAAAATCTAGGAAAATTGTCTTTCATCCAGAGAATTGAGTTTCAATGAAGATATATTTGATCTACCACTGCGAAGCGCAGATATACCTCAAAATGAACAGCTTACTTCGTTCGAAGAAAATATAGAAATACGGGTAAGATATCATACCGTCATACTTCCGAAAAAATTCACGCAAAATGACTTTAATTTCAACTTTTCCTAGGATGCTAACACTATTTCAGAAACATGTGACGTAGAAGAATTCATATCTCCCATAAATGTGATAGTAGCAAATTCAAATGACTCTTTGACATTGGATCCAATCGAATTTAATTATCCTGAATTATTATAAAAGTATAATTGTGTAAAACGATGTTTATTCAAATATGAAATGCAGTTAATAGTCTATTTTTGAAGTATTGTACAAAGTGTATATTTTTTGATTTGTGGTGCTACAGGTTTTAGTGCCTCAATTGAAATTTTAACATATATATAATTTATATGAGTATAATCTCCAGTTTGACTGCGAAGATGTTTCACTTCGTGTTGATAATTTTTTTCATATCGACTTAAAATTGAAGTATAATGTGTTACGTCGTAATTCATTATTAAAAAATCTTTAAATGCTCAGAGAGAATTAAATTAAAAATACATAATAAAGAAAAGCTGAACGAATTAATTTTTACCTGATTATTATTTACTTAATCAAATATAATAAGTGCTACGGTGTTGATGACAAATAATATAAAGTATGAAATATTTGATCTTATTGCTTTTTATTGAAAAAATGCAAATATACAATATAATAAAGAATCGTTATGAAAGATCTATAGCTTTTTATAGTTCTATTCGATTTATAAAAACTATTTATTTTTATCAACAAAGTAAAATATCATGGTGTTTCTAATCATTGAGTACTTTTTATAATAAATGAAATATTATTCACCTACGGAAATTTCGCTGGCTTTGTGAGCATTACAGTATCTTGCTCTTGGCGCAAAGCGCGTTTTTTCTTCCAAAGATAATAAATCAGGACAGATACACACACAGCTGTGAGTACAGATATACTGCTATTGATTGCAATTAATTTCGACGATGAAAAGCTACTTTGATAATAAACCATAATCTGAGACCTTCCTTCTTCAACTAGTTCTTCTTTATTGTCGTTCACGTTTGCGTATCGGGTATAACATGACCAGACTCCTACATCTTCCACTAAGTTGATCACTGATAAATTTTAAACATTAAATTATTCATGAAATACTTCATCTTTTTATCCACAAAATTAATTGCAATTAATTGCACTTACCATCGATGGTTAACTTGCAGTATGAAATGTTGTGTTCAACTTTGTATCTTCCTATGAAATCACTGTTGATTCCTCGACCTCTGGGACTAACCCAACGGCAAGAATCAATGACTTTGTTTGAAGTGGGTAACTGTTTACAAAGTAGTTCAGTTTTACTCTTCTTTTCAATTTTTACGAAATAAGATTCAGCATCAAGCTCGGTTTCTAAAAAAATTAAAGTATTCATTCATTATTTTAAGAAGCATAAATTAAGTAAATTTCAAAATTAATGATGATAGATAATTAAAATTTAAAACGTACCAGAAACAACAACGTCAAAAGTACGAACGACCTCATCTCTATTTGCGATACCCACGTGACATGACCATTGACCATTATCTGATTCATTTGCTACTGGCACTTCAGCTGAGCAATCTCCTAGTTCCAGACCTAGACCGACATATTTTAAAGCGGGTAATTTTACTTTTTCCCCTTTAATAACTGAATGATACGACCCATTAGGGCTACGGAACCAGCAATAATCTAAAACTTCATTAGCCTCGCATTTTAACTAAAAAAAGAAAATTTTTTTAGGTACAAACAATGTGAAAAATGTATCTATTGCAAAGTAATAATCTATTGGATTAAGTTTTACAGTGTTTTCTGATACTATGTAACTTACCTTATACGAAGTACCTATTTTAGCTTTGACGCTCTCTGCTGAAACAGCTGTGTTTGTAAAATTTGTCTTTTTTCCCTGCACCTTTAAAATAGTTCCAGTTATACGACCATCCATTTCAGTCATACACTTCCATGAACCGTAATCGTAAGTAGGATTAGGTTGTAAAATTTTAATGCCGCAATCATACTTTGATCCTAAATCATTGTATCTGCTGGAACCGTTTCCATAATATTCGTACCTGTTGAATGTATAAAAAGTTATTTACGTCCATAAATTGAATTAAAAATTTGTAGACTTACTTTTCATCGCCAATTCCAGGTGTCATGTGAATAATCGTTCGATTGGGCGTAATAAAGTAACAGAACGCCGGTAAATTACTCACTTGGCACAACAAACTGATACTATTATCTGCATTATAAATTACTTCGTTTTTTAAATTGACGGGATCTTCAAAATGAGGAAGTTCATGTAAATCAATGGGACTTTGAAATTGACTTATTAATCGTTACTTTTCGTTTTTACCGTATACGTGTACATTTACTACTTGTTCCACAAGACTTTCCAATCCTTGAAGAGCGTAATATATTTTCCAGGTACCTTCATGAAGTTTTGTAACGTCCAATTGATAATGGCATCTACCAAATTTGATTGGATATTTTTCGCCTTGAGGACCTTCGAAAATGCAAAATTTGACATTTTCAGGTCCTACATCGATTGCTTCGGTTTTACCATTTCTCAAAGTATAATTCATCTGTGTAAAAATTATAGCTAATCATTTTTTCAACTAAATATTTAGTAATTGTTACGATGGAAACAATGAGCACTTACTTCTTTGACTTTCATATTTTCCATATTCTGAACATAAACACTCTTGTGAGAGTAATAACTGACAGTCTTATTTATATCTGCAATTAAAGTCCAAGTTCCTGCAGAATCGTCTGTTACTTTTATTTTAAAACCGCAACCAGAATCTAATTTTTGAGCATCTTCTGCTAAAAATCCCTGTTGATAAAATAAGAAAAAAAATTAAATAACTGTCACATCTTATCTCAACCATTATTACCTTCGGATTTAAAAGTTTGCATTTTTCCTCTTTCAAATTATCTTTAAATTTAATTGTCAAATCTCTCTCAGGAAAAACTACAACACTTCTATCTGGAACGGAAGGTTTCTCGTCATATACCTAAACACCATTTTACAGATTGATGAGATAAGGATTTAATTAGAATAACGTATAATAAAAATCCAACAAGGAGACCACTTGATCCCCGAAACATTGATTCGACTTTTGTGGACACTCCTTACTCGAAAAAGGTGCATCATACCCGTATTTTTGGTTGATTAGACCACGAAAATTTTTTTGAAACGAACCCATGTTTTGGAGGGTAAGTAGTCTTTTTGTGAGATAAAAAAAAATTACGAAATCCATTCATTTGTGTGAGAACATTACTTTTTTTTCTTTCGTATAAAAATTGTGTTTCACCATACCTATAGTAACTTTTTAATTTTTAGATAAACTTGAATATTTTACGTAAATATCTTAATTAATCACAACAATTTTACGGTATATAACTAATGTAAAGTATAAAATATTTATTCTTACGTTTTTTACAAACAATTCATAATTTTCAATGAATTCTTTTTCTGTTCCATTTTTGAACTCCTGCAGTACTTTTATTGACCACAGCCCAGTATCATTTTTATTCAAATAATATATAGAAACTTTGCACTTTTCATAATAATCAAGTGCAAATTTATCATAATACTTGTCGTCATTGCTATTTTTCGAATACAATGTTAAGTAATCTTTTTCGCCATTTGGACGTAGTTCACACTTAGATATTGGACTATCATAATCGTCTCGTACGCCATGATACTCTCCTATAGTTGCGGTATCACCGATTCCGTAATACCTAGTACGTTGAACTGAAAAAAATTGAATAAAATAAAAAATAATAAAAAAATATAAAATTAAATACGAGGTCAAAAGTGATCGGTTTTTATTTTTCATAGATGTGAGTGATGATGTAATGAGCTTTAGCTTAGTTATTTTTTATGACACTTTCTTTTTGTACTATCACTTTTTAAATCTTTATTTAGATTTTCATATCGCATGATATTAAGTATTTTTAAAATAAATTTTGACTACTACCAAAGAAAATACTATCTACTTAGGAGTGGTAAACTTTGATATGAAAACTAGAAACCTAAGCAGATTAATTGTTTTACAATGAAGATAGGAATTTGTAGTTTATAATAATAAACAATTTTTTTCGAAACGAAATTTTTATTTTATAAAAGTAAAAATTAACCCTTACCTGAACTTCCATTGACTGATACAAGCGTGACGAAGCACGCAAGTACGAAAACGAACAGCTCCATTCCGCGCAAACAGTAACACTGAGAGTTAGCTTATCGATTACAATTCCAATGAGCGAGTCAATCAGAAACCTCGATACGTTAATATGTTTTTTTCGATTGCGATATCGATCTTCTTTATTATCGTTAGCTTGTAAGTTAACTAAACTTTCATTAATATGTATAATTTATATAAATTCTCTAAACTATGTTTGAATGTACCTTCAGCTCACTACATCGAAGCAATGTTATCAAATTTTGAAACTTTTTTAAATTATGCACTTTTTGATAAAGTGTATTTAAACTGACTATTCACTTCAATGGGCTACAATAATCTAGGTCACAAAATTTTCAATACATTCTAATTATTTCGATAAAAGCTATTAATTTCTATAAAAAACGGTAATACTTTTATATCGAACAATGATCAAGTGATTAGTCTTGTTGAGCGATTGTTAATGTAGATAAACCCTATATCTCCTTATCTCGTACGTGCGATCTTCAAGGCACACAGAATTTATTATGATAAAAGTATATTGCCACAAAAAATAAGTAGAGTACATTTTCATCCAGTTCATACAAAAATAACAACATTTCGAATGAAAATTTTCTACTCATTCGATCATAATGTGATAAAAATATATTGAGCTAAGCAACGCATTTTTGTACCCACTACTGTGTCTTTTGATTCATATTTTTAATATGAACTTTTATTTGTATTCTGACTCTCGTTTGACATGTGTGTATCATATATTGTCGCCAATTGTCGTATATTTAACATTTTTATTCCGAGTACCCTAGTAATTTTGAAATTGAGGAAAACTAGACCTTAGTCATATTCAGAAGAAATGAACTAAAATTTAATGTAAAAATATTTTACGTCATTCAAAGGCTAACAGATTCTTGGATGCACGCATGCAAATAAATAAATTTTGCAACTTAGTCAGATCGATAGATGGATAAATCTGAGTCAAACCCTCTTTCGAAGACTATGAAAAGTTTTTTACGTGTACGTGCTGCAATCAGCTTTTGATAGAACTTTGGTACTATGCAGCTATACTTTGTCTGCCGCGAGCACGAATACGTGTACCTAGGTATTTTGCATTAATTTTCAACATAAATATATTTTAAACACTCTTTACAATCTAACGCAAGAGTTTATTTAAAAATTAGATAGAATAAAATGAATGAATCTAACTCCCGTCGATAAATTTGGTATGTGAACAAAAAATTGAATTCGAAAAGGTTGACAAGTAACAATCGGTTTCATTAGCTGCTCGTTTTGATAAAACGACATTCAACCAGTTTAGTAGCTCAAAATTTCCATAGTATACCTATTTTATGTAAGTAAGTACAGAAAAAACAACAATCAGTAATGGAAAATTTTATATACGTGAATTTCAACGCACGCGATTACTTTGTCAAACGTTATTGTACTCTGAAGTACTGTACTGTGAAACTGGCTTTTTAAAATTCTGTGGTTTAATAAGGTATAATTATATTTGAAGTATACAAAAAATAGTCATATTATAATGATCTTAACAATGCTTTTTTTGTATTCAGCGGGAGGTTTTAAAAAAAGTAACTTACCAATATCAATAATTAGTATTGCTGTATTTAAATTTCATTATTTTGATTTAATATCCATAATAAAATTTGACGAATAGAGATCTGTACATATTTATCCAGTTAGAGTAAATGTCCATCATCAAATGGTATAATACAGGAGTATGGATATAGCAAATCCTCATAGGACCATACTCCACGCATGGCGGTGTCGTGTAGCCAGTTGCTCATTTGCACAATAATGACCGTAATTCCGGCATCATGTGACGCTTGCGTTCGCGTATGCGTATGTACAAGATATAGATATCCATAGGTGCGTGTGTGCGTGTGTATAAACAGACGAGCTGCGCAGGCTACACCTTACCCTCGAGATGTGCTCAATAAACGTGCGTATGAGCGTACGTTCATGGTTGCGGTGGTCCTGCTGCTGATGTTGCCGATGACATATAGGGACAGACGAGCTGCCGCGTTCCTCGCTTTCCCTCTCTCTCTATTCTCGCTTTGAGAACAATTTCATTTAGCGGTCGGCCGCGAATCGCTTTGGAACAACGAAATTAGCCCTGCACTTTGTCCGTGCGCGTTTGCTCGCTTACTTTGATGTCTCAATCCCTGAGAAATTCGCTATATTAATTTTTACCCACGCAGGGTTTAAGCGATGCCGTATATTTATATGTTGTCCAGCCTCATAAAGATTGCTTTTAATTAATTTTACAAAGGTTTGAATTGTATTCACGGAAAAAATGTATGGGTTTACTTTTATACGGCTAGAGAGTCAAATGAACTTTCTACCCTGCAATCCGTCAAAACTATTTATCCTTCTCGAGGGATTTCTTCCCATTTAATTAAAAACTCGTCAATTTTTTAGTGTAACTTAAGTTTTCTAAATTTTACTAATAATTTTTACTGCGAGGAATCGTGGAAACATCTATGTTATAGACCGTTGAATATTTTACTTATTTGGTATGCATTTTCTATAATGTAAAAAAGCACGGACATTAGAACTTGAAACAATCCTGTCTTATTGTGTTCAATGTCGAAACGGAAGTACATGAGTTTGCGGGGGCGCTTGGAGAATGCGTGTGTACCGCTGCTTCTTCTATACGTTTACGTGGATGGAATTTACCTTGGTTGTCTTATTATTTAGTGTAGGTCCATTATAAAATACGATATAAGGGGTTTACGGCAACTTTGGCATTCCTTGCTCAGGATTTAAGAGTCGTGAGTATGCATGTGCGCATAATCTTGGTTTCCAGCATGCGTATTATATTATCGCCGTATCGAGAAGAAATAAAAGTGGCTAAAAAGCGTATTGTTTCATCCGATGAAAGTGCGATGAGTGCGGCTAACAAGTTTCACGATAATTTATGTGGATAATGCTTACGTAGCTGAGGATTTCTAAATAGAAGAAGAAATAGCTAGCGTTCTTTGAGTTTCTCCGACGCTTTTTGGTCAATAGGCCAAGCAAAAACTTAATTAGTTCAAAATAAATGCAACTAAAATATCTAATAATATCGAGTTATAAATGAAAAATATGCACTTATGGAAAATTTCAATAAATCATTTAGATATTCCACAATGTATCAATTATGATTTATATTCAACGGAAATATAAAACATTTGAAGAAATTAACAAATGTCTTTCATATATTAAATCAAAATATGACTAATCGCATAACGTAAGGGACACGCGAGACCATACTACTTTTAGTTCAACCCTATGGCTAAAATCGCGCGTCACTGGACTTGATACTTTCGTGTACAAAAAAAAAAAAAACGTTCTCAACAAGGCTACAACTCGAATCCAGTTCGCGTATGCCGCGTACGATATAGGAAGAGAGATAAAGAGCTGAACGAAATGAAAATAAAATCCATCTCAAATAAGAATATGGGGACGCTATCGCGCATTGAATTGTATAAAACCAGAGAGCATCGGTTGGATTAAGTTGACGACCCTCGGCGGTTCGCCAAGAGCCGTCAATGCGCGCGCGCTTTCGAATACGCTCTTGAAACATATCGAAGGGTGCGCGCTTTGGCTGCAGCTCTCGCTGCGTATATAGCTGCACGCGGATTTTGTTTTGACACCGATTTTTTTTTGGATCTGTTGGTTATATATATATATACGTAGGCCTAGTGTGTACATCAGTGCCCATGTGCAAGTAATAGGGTCAGAATTTAGGCGATTTGTCTATGAGATTGCTTTGCATATTGCAGGGTTTATCTGATTCTATACGGCTTGTTTGTTCGAGATTAACGAATTGTCTTTATGAAATTAATCAGGATTTCGAATCGATTTTGAAATTGCATACAAAATTTTCTACGAGAAACTTATTTTATAATACAGTGAAAAAGTGTAAGAAATTAATTTATAATACAGTGTCTGAAATTGACATTAATATGTGATTTTTGAAATGCTTTTAAAAATATCCCAATTACTTCACACCGATTTCATGACTTACTACAACATCCAATCGCTATCCCGGAAAGTTGCCCGCGCAAACGGCAAAATCGCTCATGACTTTTTTAAGAAAAGAGAATTGCCTAATCGAGAGATTTCAGGGATCATAACTTCGGGTGCAAAACTGCTTTTTAATAATGACACGATAATAAACTAGTTGTCCGTATCATTAATTTATTCGAAGCTTTGTCATGTATCATTAAAAAAGGTAAAGCCCGACGATGGCCAGGTTACATTGTATACAGGCGTATATTAAGCGTGCTGAAGCAACGGCGGTACGATGATAAAGCGGCTGTCCGTCGAAGCGCGCGCACGCTATAACCGGCAACGAAGACTACGCACATGCCGCCACGGCTCTGATCCGGTCATTGTTGTGCAAATTCAACAAAAACCAAGATAGAGCGCCCCTAATCTGCTTCGTCGCCGCATGCCGTACACGCATTCGAGTATTCCAGCCCGTAACACGGTTTGTACCGTCAGCATACATGTGTACGTACGTGCGTATTCACGTGTTCTATATACTACTACACAATTAATTTCTCCGGCATATACGTGCGTGTACGTAAGCGTAGATTCGGAGTCCACTTATGTGCGCCGCCTGTTTTCTCGGGCCAACCATCCCCTTGCACTATCCGGACTAAAGCTCCAGCCAGTCGAAAAGGTTTTACAACGGCTGTGTATTGGGAGAAGGGGGTCGCGTCGAGTCTTCATGCAAACGTGTGTGAGTGTGTATATATATGAGCCTCAACGTGTTGTGTGCGATAATCCGGGATCTCGCCGCGTTACGAGCTTCTCTTCGTACACACTGTAACGCGTAGATTGAGTGCAGTATAAGTTGCTTTAGGAGCGAGCTCGCGCGGACGTGCACAAGCATTCGACGAGCTGTCTCGCTCTGTGTGTGCGAATATAGAGGGATGCTGCAAAATTGAAAGTTTTCGCAAGGGACCCGCTTACAAGAGGCTGCCTATAAGACTATACATACATGTATGATATGCACGCGTGCTTCGGTGGAATACCGAG